TCACAGTTGATTCTAGTTCACGTTTCCCCTACCCGGTTATCTGCGCTTCGTACGTGTACTGCGTGGCCCGAAACGTTTAGCTCAGCCGTCTTAGAAGGAAAAAGTTCCACGATTTACGAAGATACTGCAACACGTGATGACGTACCAATTGAAATGGTACCTTCGGAAGATCGTCAATGCTCCTCTTGGGTGTGCTGTTTATTCATCTCATCTTCATCGTCATCAGTGCTTCTCAGCTTCATAATTCTTGATCTTGGTCATTCAATTTGTTCGATTCTTCACTGATGAATACACGTGTAGAATTTTGTTTCTTAGAATTACGAAGGCTTAGCAGAGTTATCAGTGTTTGAGAGCATACAAGATGTTTGCAAGAAAGCCAGATCGGCTGATCGCAGTGTGGGAAGGGTTTATCAATCTCCAACGATAGTCTTGAGACAACTGAGGAATCACTGTGATTAGTAACAGTGATCAAGTGGTTACTCGAAAACATGACTGAACCTCCTCTCCAGTGGTCGGTATGTAAAAACATGCATGGCGTTATACGGCTGATGAGTCGGACGAAACGTACACGGATCTCCTTGTTTTTATTTTACCAAAATTCGGTCACCTTACGTGGATCGTTTGTATTCCTCCCAGCCCCAACCAGTCTGAATCTATTGTCAGCTCGCCCCAAGATCATTATGCGTGTTTCGCTCTAACAATGATTTTATTTCTGGTTGTAAAAACTGAACTGAACTGAACTGATTTTATTTCACTAATGGATCGGCTCGAAAAATTCTCTTGTTATTGAATTCACAGTAATACAATTTTCAGGTGGGGTTAAGCGACCAAGCAAACAGGTGCTGTACAACATACAATGAGGAAAGTCAGGTGGTGGTGGTGGAATTTGAACACGCGTCTTCCGGGTGAGGATTTGGCGTCGTTACCATCGGAGCACTACCACCCATTATGATATTCAATCTTTCGCCGAGCTAAAAAACTAATACTGTTGATTATGTGGTTAGTTCTTGAGCTTGCCACATCCTATTAAACTTGATTCTCGTGTTTGATGCCAATAAAATAGTCTATCTTCTTTTTTTACTCGCACACATAACTACATTTATTTTCTCTTTTTATCGTCCAGGTTCAAAAATCCAATGATTTCCGAGACCACTCTCACGACCCTGACCCATACAAAGATGTCCGATCAGAGCCCGATGTGATTGCACGAAATGAGCCATCAGAACCAAGCGTCAAGAATCCTCCCGAGGTGGACTCGCCTCCAGACACGGATTCCCTTTCCGACACAGCCGAGGCCTCACTAAGCCTGGCCCCGTCACTGTTCTCGGTCGATAACGTGCGTGGCTTGGTAGCGGATGTACCCCATCGAATACAACCATTGATTCGTCAAGCCTTGGACTATTTCTGGCAAGCCCGAGTCAATGCTCCAGAAGGTTCACGTGAGCCTGCCTTGACTGCGGCTTTAAATACGCCTCCAGCACAGTTTCTTTTTGACGCGTTTGACGAAGCAGGTGGGTTTTTTTAACCACGTAGTACATTTCTTTTCCCTCGTTAAGTTACCCTAGCTTCGGTCATTCTTCGGACATGCATGCCCTTTATGGTAGATAACAAAGTGTAGCCATGGTCCATAAATAATTCGAATATTTTCCTTCGGAAACTAAGTTCGTGAATAGCCGTATCACTAGCCCTCAAGTTTCGCCTACGTTTATGTAAATAATTGGGGGAGTAAGTCTGGAGAACCTGCAGTTTGATTTTGGGGATTGCTGATCTCAGTCCTGAAACCAGTGAAGTACATTGGGCTCCAATGAGACACATTATTGATATTAGATGGCACCTCCAATGTTTGGTGGTGATGGCGCACTACTGACTGATTCGAGTCGCTTGGCCATCACACCTATCCAAACTAACGAACATAGAAGATGTCACTCATGCCATGACTTGAGTTCGAAATTGCTAAGTCATTTGGAAGCTCTCAATCAGTTTTCCCTTAGTTGATAATGTTCACTGAAGTAACCTTTACTTGTTCGTTCCAGTTAGTTCATGTTCTATTTTTAGTTTGCTTTACGCAGTTATCTTTGCTTTGTGTTCGTTCGATCGCCCAACAGATCTCAGTCCGGATTTGCTCAAATTACCCACTCTACGATTCGTCAGTCGACGCCTGTTGTTCGATCTGGTTTGTGAATGTATGCAACAAGTTTACGCCGGTGAGGACCACGAATTCTTCTCGAAACAAACAGGCAAACCGTTTCATCCTCGTGTTTCGAGTAGCCAATTTCGTCTGTGGCAAGGTCGTAGCAGGTAGGTTTTTGTTTTACTCCGGTCCTCCGGTCTGTGATCCTGTCATATCACGCGGCTTTCATACATTTGGGTTGATGTGCATGACTCGTTACAAATCTACTCTCCCGGCGACCGCCTTTTTTCTTTTCTTTTGGTTATTTTATCTGGGGTAACGATTTGACTGGCACACTGTGTATATGGTGTGTAAATTGGATTTCGCTTCGGCATGTGGGAGTCTGCGACTTAAAAAAACAGGCTGTGCCACTAGTTTCCCCGCCTTGCCAAGCCACTGAAAACAAGAAAGTGTTGTCACTCATCGGATCGATTGGGCTTCAGACAATCCTGTTAAAGGGCGGGTTACTCAACGTATCAGACAGTGTCGGCATGACAGCGGTGACGGTACCGTTATCGCACTGGAAGTTACCTCGGTGTGTGTTTGTGCAACTTTGGGACTGTAGTCTCGTGATTGCACACCCTGATTACGTTGCATTTTCACTGGGATCTTTGGTGTGTTGTGAACATGCCTGCCGATGAATGTGGCAATGTTATCCCAAGTCGGTATTGACAATTTTTTTTAACTAACAGCACCGCTTTTTACGGAAAATGGTAGAGGGATACGACTTCCAGCAAATTGTTTCGCACCGATCTATTCTTTTGTGCTGCCGTATTTGGTACCGTTTCGTCGTTATTGATTCGCTTTTCGGGATTGACAAAAAGCTCTAAGTAACGAGTAAAATCGACACTACACCCATACCATTGCTTCGGGGTTGATCAGGTTAGACAAATGGTAGCAGCCCGGTTACAGAGTAAGAACATGGGGTACCATCTCTTCGTTGAGACAAGTGATTCTTTTCGGATTCACCACTTCACATATAAATCTGAATATCATTGTTAAGTTCACATCGGGACTGCATTTATAAGAATGGCTTGACGGAAGCTTGCTAGGTACGCATACTCAATGAACGACAGGAACGGCAAACCGATTATTAGCTTCCAGATAAGCTTGTCCAGTTATTCTCATTTTGATCAATATCTTCTATGTTACGTAT